TTTTTTTTTCCCTGTGGGTTCCATTTTAAGCATTGTCTGGTGGTGCTATCTAGGGGTTTTTTGGAGCGTATGCCCTACCCACTGCCATCTTTTCTTTATGATATCTTCATCAATGGGCACCTGGTAAGTCCTTTTTGTAGATCTTTGTTGGTGATAGTATTTGGACATTTGATTTTCAGGATCTTTCTGAGGCATGTGTTTATGAATGTCTGCACTTTCTGCATAAGGCTCGCTGTTGTTTTCCAAATTTCTCCACCATATAGTAGGACTTTTTTGACATTTGTATTAAAGATTAAAGATAACGCATTTTAAGGAATTTTACATTATTTTCTACCTTTTAGTGCACATTAACTCATTTCTCATGGAATCCTTTTCTTTTTTTTTTTTTAATGTTTCTATTTTCTACTTTTTATATTAAAATTGTAATCTTTACATTAGAAAAGTAAAATTATTTACGTTTTTAAACATCAAATGCTTACAAAATAGCGTTTAAAGTGACCTAACACATTATTTAAGACATGAAACAAAAAAGAAATTTTTTTGTATTTTTTTTTTTTTTTTTTTTTTTTGTGCCCTTTTTCTCTTTTCTCATGGTATTCTTTTTTTTTTTTTTTTTTAATGTTTCTATTTTCTACTTTTTATATTAAAATTGTAATCTTTACATTAGAAAAGTAGAATTATTTACGTTTTTAAACATCAAATGCTTACAAAATTGCGGTTTAAGTGACCTTACACATTATTTAAGGCATGGAACAAAAAAGAAGATCTGAGCTCAACCACCCACCCCTTAACTCAGCGAAGCAGACGTGGTGAACCATGATAATTTGAGCCACAGTGTCAACTGGCCACTGTTGATCCAGTATTAAGGAGCTTGCTTACAACCTTAACCATCCTTTTCCAGCCTTTCATCAGGTCAACACTTGCATGAGAAAGTCTTAAAATGTCCTGTGCATAAGCAAAAACACATAAAGCTCTGAAAGATTACGTTCTTCGCGATGGAAATGTGAGTAGAGAGAAAGTCTACAATTATAAAACAGGGGTTGTTCGGATAATTGATCTTTTGGATAATCAATATCCAGAAAATTGATGCTCTACTAAACCATTTTACAAAACTTAACCTAAGTAATGTGCAGGTTATGAATACAGTATGGATAGTAAAGTTACACTGAGAATGTTCATACAAAATATATGAAGGTAAAATTGTACCTGTGCCACTTGTTAGGGTTGTAAAATTATGCCAGCCAACAAAGGTTAACACTGTCTAAAGAGCAATTAAGCAATGAAAACTTAAATCTCTTAATTTCTTCACATTTTTTTTCAACATGTGGCATGACTTTTACATCCTAAGTAACGGAAACATAACAAGGGCAAATTAATATGTTTTCATAATGAATGATAAACATATCTTTGAAGAATAAATGGGAAGGACAGTTACAGAGTCACAACATTTTATTTATCCTACTAACCACCCACAAGTCCATGAAATCATTTTCTTGAGGGAGGTAACCACAGCAAGTTGTTACAGGGAAGCCAAACTGGTTGACATGACTTGAGTACCTTCCCTGGAAATGAACAGATTGCTGAGTAGCTGTTTCCTTAGCGCAAAGTTCTGCATTGTGCAGATGCAGCCTGGAGTGATGTGAAGACAAAGAAATCATTAGATAATGGCTGGAAATGCAAACAATAACTTTTTATCCAAAAAGAAAAGTGTGCACTTTGTAAAAGTGTGGAATACTTCACTAGATTTTTTTAAACTGTTAAACTTTAAAAGAGCTTAAATATACTATCCATTAATTATAAATACTGATTATGTTGAGATAGGATATTTTCTAATAAAAAGTGCTTCAAAATCCATTTTATGTGACTTTGCCATTTAATTTTTACCTTGCCATTCTATATTACCTGGCCATCTGTTCTCCCAGTTTTGCTGCATATTTAGAAAGTCCTGTCATGGGGATGTACTCCATCACAAGCATAGCTCCACCTTGAGGATTACTGATGACCTGGTAATAGACATTCTATGGGTGAACTACAAAGTGATGTCTGAGAAAAGTCTAAATTTATTGTTAGAATTTGAAATCATGGTTGTCAGTCATCAGATTCACTGGAGCAGAATGCAAATGGTCAATGAAATCAATAGCACGGTGACATATGCTGAGTTGTTTTTTTACTGCCCAGACTGTCATCATATTTTTGTGTCCATAATAAAAATAGGTTATGTCAATGATGCCGGGCACAGTTGTACACAATGAATGGTGTAAAATGACAATTTTTACCAAATTTTAAAACCCTCCTCACCAAATAGCTTTTATATGTTAGTTTCATTTACTTGTTAATTTTTTATACAACCCTAAGCCATTATATAAAAGTACATTACCTTTATTGGTTTAGGAACCTTGACTTGGTCAGCCTGACTTAATGCTGTAAGGCTCTCAAATTCTCCTTGAAACATGCGAAGTGCCTGTAAATTTGACACAAATACAATTGCAATAACTCTAATATTAAAAATACTGCTTTCTTTCTCATAAAAAGAATTTATTTGTGAGCCATTGTATTACGGCAGCTATAACAAGCTAATGGTTACAATGCTGTTTGAGAAACCCTCTTTGATTCTGTTTACTAGTGTCATGACAACTCCAAATGAAAAATGCAGAGTTCACTGTAAATTGGGCATTTTAAAAATCAAATGTGACATTTATGAAATCCTGACCTATCATCATCATTCAGACCCAGCAGCCATTCAGACATGTGCCCTTTGGCTTGAGGCCATGGCGAAGAATCTACACATTCTCCGCAGCAGTTATTTGTTTTTATAAATTGGTGTTGGTGTAGTCTGGTATTTTTTGGTAAATAGATATTACCTCTGAAAATGAATACCTTCCTTAAAACCTTTTCAATGGATACCAAGATACCCCAATATGCCAGGAAATGAGAGAGCAGACAAACTAGCAAAACAGGGAGCATGCAATGAACAGCCAAACATAACTACATCCCTAAACAATATGAAGCAGATTATCAGAGATAAAAAGAGTGGTTAAATGGATGGGCTATGGGCTCAACATGCCCAGTCCTGAACTTAAAAATCAAGTAATTGCCTCCAAAGGCAGAAAAAGGTCAAAATCTTTTTCCTGCACACAGGATATATACAACTTAATTCATATCTTAGCTCCATGAAACCAGATAAAACACCAATGCACCCCCTCTGCAGATATCTAAAGAAGACAGTAACACATCACCTTTTCCACTGCCCTGCACTTCAGGACTTATGTCTAAACTATTTATCGAATCCTGACAGAATCATTATTTTATTTTTGCTTCAAAATTTTTATTTAGTGGCTGTGGGGTGTGTGTGTGTGTTACGTGAGGGGTGAAAACTCAGAGTTGCCATATTGAAATGATTACCTGAGCTTTACTGTTGAATTTGACAAAAATGGTGCCATGGTCTGTATCATAAGCTGATCCCTCATTTATACATCCTCCACCACTTTGCCCAGTACTGTGAAGGTTTGCAGTCCCTAGCTCTTGTTTCAGCAGCTTCTCTAGGGAACTCATCCTCACATAACTGAGGGGAGGAAAAAGTCTTTGAGAATGTATGTGCATGATAAGAATCTTAGGATTCATAAACAGAACCACGTACATTTATTTAGTTTAATAGCTTAACGCTTAATTAATTACCGGTATTGTTTTATTTAAATAGTTTCCATGAAGCAAGAATGAATTTCAAATTAAGCCTTGATATTCACATTGTAGGAAAAAACGTTCAATTTGTGTAGCATATTGATATTGCAATGAATCTCAAATAAGAACAGTGATTAACTTTAACTTTTTTAATTTAAAAGTGGCCTAGCATTGCCCTTCTCATTGGCATATGGGTGTCTGCCTTGAAGGGGGGTATTTTCTGTCCCTTTCAGACACAATATACTGGCTATTGTTGAGAATCATGCCCATGACGTCATTTGCGTGTTTATTATAGTTGCAGTGAATTAGGGTTTACGTTAGTGTGAGGGATCGATTTAGGGTTCAGGTTAGGCATAGGGATCGATTTAGGGATACATTAGTGACATAATTAACTGGTTGTGTCAATCAAGATGGCGGCAATCGCGGGCAGTATTCTCAACATTTACCAATATACTATATTATATACAACTTATAATTGGGTAATCCTACCAATGATCTTGTGTTAATGGGCGTCTAATTTTTTTTTTTTTTTTGTTTAATTTAAATATATTTTTTTTCTCGGATTGTATGTATCATAATGTTTGTCCCTATTTCCTTCTATTCAAAGAGCTTTTTTTCAGTTGTATAAGTTTTAGAGTTGTAACCAGTATTATTAATGGGCGTTTAATTTTTTTTTTTTTTTTTGTTTAATTTAAATATATTTTCTTTCTCGGATTGTATGTATCATAATGTATGTCCCTATTTCCTTCAATTCAAAGAGCTTTTTTTCAGATGCATAAGTTTTAGAGTTGTAACCAGTATTAGCATTTAGAATGTAGCAGAATGAAGAATGCAAGGAAAAAAATGCCCCAAAGTTCATATTATCATATCATTGATTGATAAAAATAATAATTGTAAAGGACAAAAAAGTCCACCCCTTCGCACTCCCCTCCCTACGCTACTGATAGGACTGCGGCCTGTGTACTAGTACAATTTTCCAATCCTGGAAGATTTTGCTAGTACAATTTTCCAATCCTGGAATATTAAAATTTAACTTACAGAAAAAATGATTACTTCTCGGCCTCGGACTCCTTAAATCTGTATCTCTGACTGTAACTATAAAGTGTAGAGTCGACTGTACTCCTGTTGTAGTAGTAGTGTTGCACTTATAGTAGCTCTATATATTAAAATGATTTTTTTTTTAAATAAGTGAATTTAAACAGTCGGTCAAGCCTCTCTCACTCTCTCTCTCTCTCTCTCTCTCTCTCTACAAGTCTACTACTTTTTGTTTTTAATTTAAAACTCTGTACATGTAAACAAATAAGGGGAATAACTCAAATATCATGTAAATGAAATATGGCGACCCCCGTTAAACGAAAGCGTGAAAGTTTCAGCAATTGTAACCATGATTTAAATTCTAATCAAAAGCAGAATATTTTTTCTGATGCACCCGACAAGTTAAAAACTTTTACTGCATGGTGTGCATCGAATAAATTCAATATTTCACGAAAGGTACCATTAAGAAATCATTTTTTGCGCTACGATGCTTTATTGAATTAATGCATTCAATTCATAAGACAATTCAATATGATCCAATCATTAAATCTGCAATCTATATTATTACTTTAATTTTGATTTTTATTATTAAAAATTAGTAAATATTTCGGTCATATTTCTTGTGATTAGGCTATTTCAGATTTAGCGGCCCACGACTTTGTTTTGGATTCACTCTCTTTGTTTTTTTAACCTGTCCAATACCATGATTCTCAACAAAGCACTTCTTATATTGGAATTGTCCCGCTACTCTAAATCCCGAAAATTCATGTCTGTAAATCAAAAATTGTAATGAAATGAAACTGTCATCACATTTTCTTTACTTAAACGATATGGTGAAGCAGTGCTACCAACCTTTTTTAGCTGACTGTGCCCTTTTAAATTTAAAAACACTTTCTATGGTGTTTTACAAGTTAATAACAATGAGACGTGGGGAGGTAACGACTGGGGAAACCCCGAGAAGCGCTCCCGTATCACTGTATTTGAATTGGAATGGTGGTGGTCCACACCAGCACATTTTTCTACATCTTGAGGGGAATCATTTTTACCAACTACAGACTTTTTGTGGGGGAGGGGTGGCAAAATCTTGGCTTTCCCTGCATGACACAAGCCCTCGATTTACTACTGGGAAGCACTGTGGTAAACTATTCTCTTAAAAATGAAGTTAACACCTGCATTTATAACACCTTTGAAGTGTATTTTATGGCAATAGTTTAGGCCTAACTAGTATTACCTTATTTTTTTTTTTTTTTAAAGAATGATCAATAAAAGCCATTCCCAATTTCCACATCTGAAAGTGTAAGTAACTTAAACATCATTATTGTGTCTTAAGACAGAAAGTGGTATCCTCATAACAAAATTTGGAAATATGAAACATTGAGAAATTCTCTATTTCAAATTTGACAATATCACAGTTTATTTTAAACACAGCTTAACATTAACATATCCGTTTTTTTTATTTGTTTATTCTTTATTTTTACTGGACTGGTTTGGTTTGCTGAAGAAAGCTTTTTGTCAACACATTTGTGTTTTGTCTTGTCTGCCTTCTGGTTTTCCTCTTAATATAGTCCACACTCATAAAATGTACCCACCTTCAAACATTATTTTTTCCCACACCCTTGGCTTGTATTTTTTTTTAAATGAAATATATATTTCCTTATTTTTCAAGAAGAATATAAATCCAGATTTTCAGGAATATAACATCATTGATTTTATTAATTATTAAATTTCAAAAAGGTTTTTTTTTTGGTTATATTAATAATTTGTGCATTATTTACTAGGTTCAAGTTGGCCGTGAGGGTTCTTGTGCTCAGTATGGTATGACAGCAGTGGAAGACATTCCCGAAGGCTATTGTCTGTTTCAAGTGCCTAGAACAAGTTTACTTATGCCACATAATACTAACATTGCTGGGCTCATTGAGCAAGGTGAAAAAATTTATATAAACAGATTTGTTTAGAATTATAAAAAAAATGTGTTTTGGTGATGTCTAAAGTATAAACACACTGTTTTGAATACCACATATGACATCTGCATGCTCTATAAATAAACTTACAAATCTCAACTAGGTCTTTTTCTGCCAAAAAAAGAGGCTACATAATTCATTGCTGAAATCTTACTTGCTTAGACTTGCTATAGTGGATTTGATTAGTGTTTAGGTCCACAAATGTACCACTGTTATTATTACATCATGACTAGTAACCTGCTTATCTCTCCACATCAGAGAAATCTAAACTAGCAGCAACCAATCAGTGGGTCCCACTTCTTATTTCTTTATTGCATGAGGAGAACAATCCTACTTCAAAGTGGCGACCATACTTAGACCTCTTTCCTGACTTTGAGACATTGGATCTGCCCATGTTTTGGGAACGGTAATTTTTAAAAGTTTTAAGACCTTCTGTTAAGCCATTACCAGAAAAAGTCATAATTATTTTAATGTTTCTCATGAACATCCATTATGTTACAATTTTTAAACATTATTTATTTACTCTGCATGACCCTAGCTTTGTTTTTAAATATAAATTAAACACAAATAGCGATATAAAAAGTTGCATTACAAGTTTAAATAAATGAGAATGGTGAACTTGATATGAAGCTTATATATATTCAAAATTATAAATAGGTAGGTATGATGTCTTTAAATTATACAGATCTGAATTAACTTTTTTCACACACCAGCATTGTAATATAAATATAATGTGTTAAAGTTTTCATAATCTTAAAAATAGACTCTATTTTTATTTTTGTTTTACATCTTTTCTTCTTTTAGCTATCTTTTTTTTACTTAATGTTGTAAACTAATCTTTTGAAATATCACCCTTTAAAAATGTATAAAATATGCCTGTAGAAATATAAAAGTAGACTCATTGAGATGTCTCCATTTTAATTAATATTTTTGATATTTGGAATAAATGATTCAGTTCAGATATAGAAAAACTCCTGAGAGGAACTGGCGTAGATCTGGCTGTGGAGAGAGATCTCAAGATGATACGAGACGACTATAACAAACTTGTCTTACCTTTCTTTGATAGACATTCAGATGAGATCAGGTGACTTTTACTATAGAATTGTCTCAAAGCTGTAGAGGTTAAACAAATAAACATTTCAGTGACAAATATCAGACTTTTAGCTTGATGAAGATTTTTTTTTTTTAAGATAGCTAATTAATAATTTCAAATCTAACTGACTTAAAAAAAATTTTTATTATTATTTCTCATCTACTTTCCAGCAAGGGCCAGATGGACTTGGATTACTTCAAAAAGATGGTAGCATTTGTTATGTCTTACAGTTTTACTGAACCTCGTCACAGAAGAACAAAAAATTCAGAAAACAGTAATTCAGGTGACAGTGGTGAAGAAGAGAGTGACTCTGATGATGACGAACCATCCATGTTACCTCCCATGATGGTACCTTTAGCGGACACACTCAACCACATTACCCACAACAATGCAAAGCTCACTTTTGGAAAGGAGGCCCTTAAAATGGTTGCTGCAAGGCCCATCAAAAAGGTGGAGATATTTCATTAGTAGATGATCTCATTCTCCTATTTGAACATTTCTCAACTTCTGTAATGACTTCAGTACTTTATTAAAAATAAGAAGAAAAAAATGTAATTTAAAATTTCCCATACTGTAATCTATTATAATAGTTCCTTGATTTTAATATAGTAACAGGTTCAGATGATAAGAATGCTCAGATATATTATTATATATATATATATATATATATATATTTAATAGGATTAATTTCAGATTTGGTAAATTTTCCTATGTGTATGGGTTCAAAATTTCTCCAGTTTTTTTTATTGACCGCCATCAAATGGGTTCACATGATTATACTTCTACTGTTTCTCCAGGGTGAGGAAATATTCAACACTTATGGCCAGGTATCCAACCTACATCTCATGCACATGTACGGATTTGCTGAGCCATATCCAGACAACACGAATGATGTGGTAGGATTCTAAATATTAAAAAAAATAATAATTGAAAGCTCTTCAAATTAATTACCTCCCTTTAATCATTAGCTGTTTTGCTATTACTTAAACTTAATTTAAATGCATTTTAAAAAATCTTTTGATAAGAATCCAAAGCTTACGGACATGTAGTATATATTCAATACTTGAACAGTGACATTTCTGGAAGTAGTTGGTATAATATAATATCTTTCCATCACCTAGATCAGGGCTGCACAACTCAAAATGTAAGGCCTTAATACTTCATGAAAAACTTGTGCGGGCTGAAAGAATATAGGACAGGGGGGAAAGCTATGAAGAAATAATAATAATAAAGAATATTTCATTACTTCATGGGCCGTATGTTGTGCAGGTGTTACAATAAGTTACATTGTTAAATAAATGAGCTGTCAACTATTGACTGTGCGACACTGACATTGTCTTTATCGCATCTCTCATTGGTTTCACTTTCTCTTAATCATGCTGGCTCTCCTGTTGATTCTCAGGTGGAGATCCCAGTGGTGAGGATTTTTGAGGCAGCTAAAGATCTACACCAAGATAAGGAGTCATCATATAAAAGTCACCTGGATGTCGTGTGGGCATTTCTCATTGAACAGGTTGGTTTGTTACATGTGACCGTAGTGACATATTAATGAGAAAATAAACTAAATATCTGTAAGGGGTGAATCCAGACACACAGAATGGTTAATTTTATTTGATTGAGGGGTGAATCCAGACACACAGAGTGGTTAATTTCAGTTGATTGAGGGGTGAATCCAGACACAGAGTGGTTAATTTCAGTTGAGGTGTGAATCCAGAGAACCCAGACATACTGAGGGGTTCATTTCAGTTGAGGGGTGAATCCAGACATACAGAGGGGTAAATTTCAGTTGAGGGGTGAATCCAGACATACAGAGGGGTAAAGCTTCTAAGGTAAACTATAATTGCATTTGTCTATGCCTGTTTCTTGTGTGGTGGACCTGCACTTTTCCCCCCCTAGGGACCAATTATCAAGATCCGCACCCACACACAAAATAATAAAAGCCATTAAAATTGGCACCGTTCCCACCTGCAATTAGTGCAGTGTGGCTAAACAACAGATTTCTATTATACCACATGGGGTTGGATGGGTCTATGTGCCCTTTAATTTTTTGTTTAGATAAGCAAGAAGAAAGCATTTTTTTTTTTAATGGTATTTTTACGAGATGATATCAGCATTGTTTTTTCCAGGAATTAATTTTAGCTGATGACATTTTTGTTCTTGGGAGGGAAGGCATAATTACAGATGACATCTGCATACAAGCTCTCAAGGTAATTGGATGACATTTAACTATAACATGTGATCTTCCACATTAATGTAATTGTCAGTTGTCTCCATTAGTTGTAATTCATCTCATTTCTGGGGCCTTTTGTCTACAATGATGGTGCCTCCTCAGAGGCTAACATTTTTATTGTAGCTCCAAGATATTAATTGTGTGAACATAATAAAGATCGGATGAACTTAATTCAGATTTGGCAGTACAAATTTAGTTCGATTTGTACATTTTATTAATTGTTGGATCAATGTGTTCTGTCCACTGAGAAACAAAAAGTACTCTTAAATCCATTATGTACGGGAATGTCATTGACTGGCCATTATTTCATTCGTTACAGGCCAGTATTTTACCATTAAATATACAGATTGATCCCCAACTTTAAATATACTTGCATAATCCTTAAGGACATACAAATAAATTGTTTAAATTATAGTGAAAAATACATCTATTTTGTAAAATATGAACATAGATCTATTTTCATAAATTCTTCCTATCCACTAACCAGGTCCTTTCCATGGACAAACAACAGTTTGTTGAATACACAGAAAAAGAAGGTTGGAGTGATGCTGAAAGTGACACGTCATTGGCAGAAGACTCCAGACTAGAACTAGGTAATGACCAGACTAGAACTGGATAATGTCCAGACTAGAACTAGATAAAGACTAGACTTAACTAGGTAGCGTCCAGAAGTGAACTAGGTAATGACCAGATCAGAACTAGGTAATGTCCAGATCAGAACCAGGTAATTTCCAGATCAGAACTAGTTAATGTCCAGACTAGAACTAGGTAATGTCCAGATCAGAACTAGGTAATGTCCAGATCAGAACTAGGTAATGACCAGACTAGAACTAGATAAAGACTAGACTTAAACTAGGTAGCGTCCAGAAGTGAACTGGGTAAAGACCAGACTAGAACTTAAAGACTTAAAAGCCTGAGCGTAAGTGTTGGCTCCACTCTTATTTCATTGAGGTAAACGAAGCGAGGACAAAGTATAAGGTAATGTCAAGAAACAGACACAGTGGTGACAACATCAAATTAAGCAACCACACGTTAGAGAGAGTGGCTGCTTATAAATATCTAGGATCTACTATTAATGAGCTCAGTGAAATAATGACAGAGCTGCAGTCAACAAAAAGCCGCTAGGAAGCAAAAACCTCTCAAGAAAAACAAAGAAAGGCACGCACACCAATATCATCAAACCGATTATAATTTACGCAAGCCAGACTTGGTCCCTTTCCAAAAAGCAGCGAACCTGCTCAATACATGAGTGAGAAAAATCCGCAAGGAAAATATGCGGCCCGGGTATAGACAATGATGGATGGAAAATTCATACAAAGACATCAGCTGTTCAAAGACCCACCCTGGTCGCAACAATTAAAAAGGCAGACCGCACTAGACAACTTGTACCGCACTAGACACCTTGTACCGCACTAGACACCTTGTACCGCACTAGACACCTTGTACAGCACTAGACACCTTGTACTGCACTAGACACCTTGTACCGCACCAGACACCTTGTACAGCACTAGACACCTTGTACAGCACTAGACACCTTGTACCGCACCAGACACCTTGTACCGCACCAGACACCTTGTACCCCACTAGACACCTTGTACCGCACTAGACACCTTGTACTGCACTAGACACCTTGTACCGCACCAGACACCTAGTACCGCACCAGACACCCTGTACCGCACTAGACACCTTGTACTGCACTAGACACCTTGTACCGCACCAGACACCTTGTACCGCACTAGACACCTTGTACCGCACTAGACACCTTGTACCGCACTAGACACCTTGTACCGCACTAGACACCTTGTACCGCACTAGACACCTTGTACCGCACTAGACACCTTGTACCGCACTAGTCACCTTGTACGGCACTAGACACCTTGTACCGCACTACTTGAATGTATGTCCTGTCCCTGCAAGCACTGCCGACTGGACAAACTCATAGTATTTGGTTTCCTTTATCTTCAGCCAAGATTCCAAGTCTGGTGGATGTCAGATGGAAGCAGCTTCTCAAAAGGTACGAGTTTGATCTGACTGAGAAAAAACCTTAGTGCGAGTTTTTTGTACTAATCTGATCATGATTCATGATTTCTAAGATGTCAGCAAATTCTTTTGGATAATTCTTTATCTGTGTGACTTTCGTACCGTACTTAATCCATATTCCCGAACAAAGGAAAGTAATCCTGATTTTTCAGTTGAAATATTTTTGTAAATTTTTTTTAAGCTGCTAAATATTAAATTTTAACAAACTTGTGATAGTTTTATCCAGAAATGGATTTTTTTTAAAGTAACATTAACTGCCAAAGTAACAAGTGAAAAAAAAATCATTTTTGGCTCGTGTTCAATACCTGCTAGATATAATATTATTCAAACTAACATTACAATCAACACCTGCTAGATACAAGACAAACCATACTAACACCTGCTAGATACAAGACAAACCATACTAACATCTGCTAGATATAAGACGAACCATACTAACAACACCTACTAGATATAAGACGAACCATTCTAACAACACCTGCTAGATATAAGACGAACCATACTAACAACACCTGCTAGATATAAGACGAACCATACTAACAACACCTGCTAGATATAAGACGAACCATACTAACAACACCTGCTAGATATCAGACGAACCATACTAACAACACCTGCTAGATATAAGACGAACCATACTAACAACACCTACTAGATATAAGACGAACCATACTAACAACACCTGCTAGATATAAGACGAACCATACTAACAACACCTGCTAGATATAAGACAAACCATATTAACACGGCTTTAAAAACAAAACAAGATAAAAACTTCCAGTTTTCTTTACTGAAATTATGCCATTACAGAAGTCTCAAGAGATGTAGTATTTTGTTGTTACTATTAAATAACGATGAGAGAGATGTGTCAGTAGCCGTCAGTACACATTTTTTTGCATCCGAATGACAAATTTATTTCTACCTTAGGGAATGACTTAAATTACTGTCTGCTGTTCAGAGAGAATCCAAGTCTTTTTTACATCTACTATTACAATATGCAATTAAGTATTCATTTAAGCCAGATACTTCGCACAATCTATTACTATTAGATGATTATTATTATTTTAACAATGAAACATTCCGACAACTCCTGCGACGTCACTGGTGCCAAGCTGTATCATCCAATGATGTTCCCTTGGGTTACCCAGCGGCGTGGAGAGAGGCGATTTGCTGTTGGGAACCAGCTTATAATCCTTCAAGTATATTCCCAGGTCATGTGGATTTCGTCCTCCGAAGCCCACTCCATCGTCACATTGTGACGGACGGATGCCAGCAAAAAAAAAAATTATTTTAATAATGAAAGTAATATAAGCTGTTTAGTATGAACCTTTCAATGACATAAGTTAGGATTCATGTAGATCAGTTTCAAGATTACCCAATTCACCCCTCCCGCTAGGCACTCATGTAGAAAAAACTAAAAGGATCACCATTTTACTTACACTTACACAATACATAAGGATGACCCCGATATGGGCATTGATATCGGAAAACCTAAATAAATGATTAATACCAATTGTATACAATACCATTTGTACAGGATGGGACAGCTTCACCTCAACAACTACACAACAACCCTGGAAGAGGATGAAGCAAAACTCAGAGTCATCTCCACTTTGACATCACAGGAGAAATTTGCCCTGTATACTGCCCACGGCCAGAAAATGTTGATTAAATTATTGATTGATGCCTGTAGTTAACAGTAAACTCGTATTATTTCATCTGCACTTTGTTCTTACAATTATTTTCATCCAGCCATACATTTAATTTTACATAATAACTAAACAATTTATTCAACATTCTACAATATATATCTTTTTTTTTTTTTTTTGTTTATAAGAGGAAGGGGGCGATACAGAAATCAAGAGGGGAGGTAATTGAGCCCCTCCCCATAAAATGTTTGATACATTTAGGAAGCCATTTGGCACATGCTTTATTTAATATTTTTCAATATATATTTTTTTTTTTTTTTTTTGGTTATAAGAGGAAGGGGGCGATACAGAAATCAAGAGGGGAGGTAATTGAGCCCCTCCCCATAAAATGTTTGATACATTTAGGAAGCCATTTGGCACATGCATTAATTTAGGTTTTCAATATTCTACATATCAGAGAGAATCAGAATAGATCAAAAGACAAGAACCTTTTAAAATGCTTTCCTTGGATGACTAATGCTCCAGTGATAGGCTGCTTGTTTTTTTTTCTCCTCTCACCATATTTCTTAGAAATGTTTATCCAATTTCTTTTTTTAAGATTAAGAGTGCCGGTACTGATTTTGAATTATTTATTTATTTATACTTAAAACTATTGAGTAATAATTCATGGGAAAATATAATTTTGCACTGCGTCTATTAATCCATTAATTACCCTTATTTTCATTCCTTTATACCAAAATGCTGCCTCTCACATACATATTTCTTTTAAAGTGCAGCTTTTTTTTTCCTACCCTGGTGGCTATCTGCCTATATGTGGGCACCTGGTAATAAACAATTGTGGCGCTCCCATGATGTAATTTATTATTAAATTTCCATCTAAGTCTAAGATTAAGAAGATTTCTATATTCTAAATATGAAGTCTGGCCCAATATTAATAATGTTTCTTTATCATAAATTTATTTTAAATCTATCATGGTAATTTTTTTTAAATATGCTTCCATTGTTATAAAAGAATCAGGGGGTTCCAACTTTTTTTTTTTTAGAGCAAAGGATGCCACGCACTATAAAAAATATATCCTTATGACCATTAAAAAAAATCTTGTATAGTTAACATTCACTGATCTTAGTAAAAGTCTACATTAACCAACAGCACCCTTTTAAATCTCAAATAATATTCTGCATTGACATTTATAGTACCTAGTCTGTGAGTGAAATGTCGAATTTGTTTTTGTAGTTCATTTCTTTAAATTAACAAATTGTGAATTAATGCATGGACACTATGAGGGGTAAAAATTACTGGTGTGTGCAAAGTGATGACAGAAACCCAGATGTTAAAGGGTTCTCAAGCAGTTTAATAAACGGTTTCTACCAGTACCTACGCTGCTAAAACCTGTAATCAACTGAATATTTAAATCAGAAGTTACAAACATTCACAGAACCACTGAAGTCAATCAATTGATTCAAAAAGGTCTTGCATTTGAGGAACTGCACTTGCATTTGATGTGGATTCATCTAATTAGATATATCTTTTGAGAAGCCACGGAGTCTAAGTAGAAATAATGTATGCTGAATGTTTAGATGCTGAAAATTAAATAAGTGACCACTTGGACATTTCATCAAATCCACTATGTTTTGGATTTAATGCCTCTCTCCATATCAGTTACTGAATTCAATTTCTTAAAAGATTCTTGGGCAGGTCTTTAATTAAGAATGTTGATTTAGCAATATGAACCTAGGCTGCTTTTTTAAATTGTATATTTAAGCACTAATGGCGAGCTTGAGGCATAAAGCATTAATCCCAAAGAAATGTGTGTTGGATAACAACATTTTTTTATCATGGCTGAGACTATTCGTACCCGGGTACCAGAAGTGAGAGGTTGGGATTAAAAAATTATTTAAAATTTTACTGTTGGGTTTGTAAGACAAAATGAGGAATCAAATGAAAGATAATTGAATGGACTATATGTTTGTAAACTTAATTCTTCAGTTTAACTAAAATAAACTACCACAAATGACATCCGAATAGCTTGAGTCTAATGGTCTAATGGTTTTTTAATCCCAACCTCTCACTTCTGGTACCCGGGTACGAATAGCCACTTCGTTTTATCACATCTAACCTGTGGAATAATGAGCTCTAAATTAAGTTACTAAATTAATAAATTACAATTTTGTATAATTTTTGTAAATAGGTTCCTTTTTTTTTTTTCCACTATTGTAAAACATAACAATAATGACACTATAAACTAAACAATCTAGTAATTATTTATTACAAATGTTCACACAAAGGAAACTCATTGGTAGCCATAACCCCGCAAACATACACCTCCCTAAGATTTCTCTGCAGTTTTAAAATAACTTTCTATTGAGCATAATTTGAAACAAAACCCGCGTCTAAAATTAGACTAACAAAGAATATAGATGGTACATCCATACAGTATGGGAAATAATTGCAAACCTATAAATTGCATTTGCTTAATTTATTTTTCTTAATGAAATTTTCTTGCACACGAAACAACATAAAACAAACAAAAAATCAACCGCATTTGACAGTATTTATATTAATACTAAATGACAATGCACACCATTGTCGCAGTGAGATATTTTAAAAGGCAAACAAGAACTACTAATACTAATAAACATGTGCTTTTGTTTCTGAGATCTTTGTACATCAGAACAATGGCAAGGACATGCATAAATGTTTATATTCCATAGCAACACTTTTCAACTGCTGTTTGAAAGTTATGAAAGCATTGCTAATTGTATGCACATAACTGTACATTATGTACTGACTCAACTCACACAAGAACATTTCGTGCCAGAATTTGTGTTGTCGGACATTTGCGCAACCAATTACAAAACCAGCCTCCGGAACCAATCCGCTGATTAAAATGGTCATTATCAATTTTGACAGACAAACTAACAACCCTGTCATGACTAGTGGTCACTGATGGTAAATACATTTCAATGGCGGACAAAGGTGTTCCTGATGTGTCAGGCAGTGGCAGCCCAACACTCAAATCCCTTTAGTGCCCTTCAAATATCAATAAATCTAGATTTATTTGATACAGAGATAATTTTTTCAATGTAGCAGCCTCACTCAAAACTAATTAGTTGCATATTAGACTCATTTGATTCAGAGATAATTTTTCAATGTAGCAGTCTCACTCAAAACTAATTAGTTACATTTGACGAAATGTAGAACTTGCTGTATTGTACTCATCTACCCATGATGACAGATGTCCACTTGTTTGGGCTAATTCTCCCACTTCATCCCACGGGACAGTTTATCTGATATCAACAGATATTAATACACCAACACTAACAAGTTTGTTGCACGAAATAAGTTCATTTATTAACAATTCCTAAACTATTGCTATTAAATACTTTCCGACCAATAATCAAGTCGTTCCAGCCAAACACTAAGCAACACACAAGTTAAATAGTCAATAACGAACAACCGCCATCTCATATAGCAACAGTGATCTAAGCGTAACAACAGTGATTCTCATACTCTTGACAACATTCAGATATCAATAACACTAGACACATTTTATTCAGAAATAATTACAATTACATATATAAATGCAGTTACTTATATAAAATGAGATTTAAAAATTCTGAAATCAAATCTAATTAACAAATAAAATGCTATCTGATGTTGGCTCTGTGCATGCATAATTTCAGTTAGTCATTGCTGGCCCTGAAGGATGGTTCTATGATCAGGTCAGAGCATCCATGGCAACAATGTGGTACGTTAAGGTCACAACCAGGAGCTGCCGATAGAGTGTGGATAGAGAAGGTCACAATGTACAACTCTCAAGTGTTGGACTTGGACATCAAACAAAATAAGCCTGAAACTTATTACAATTCATATCATTAAGAAGAGATTAATTAATACCTCACATCAATCTACATTAAATAGCACGGCTGTACATGAGTGTAATGACGTTCAAGAGTTATCCTTTGTACAGACATATATCATATATGGTCATTTAAAATGTCAGCTTGACTGAAACCACCAGTGTGAACCTGAGATGTAAGAAGACAGACTAGTGATCATAAGTAAACGGGAAATAACCTAGAAAGAAAAAAATATTTCCGCAGAGAATACAGCTAAATGAATAACTTTTAAGTTTGATGTCCTGACTCTTTAATTGCAAACACAAAACATTAAACACACAGCATTTGAATCAGTCAAAGAATTGTATCTCATGTTTTCTTACAAATTAACCCTCAGCATTCAAGCTGTGGGTAAATCAGTTCAATAAGCACTTAAATAAAATAACCATCTTACTATTCTTACTCTGTTTTCAGTCCATATCTACTCATGACACAGGGCTGAGCACTACCTTAAGGGAGTCAAATTTTATCTCATAGATCATCCTTTAACTTTCATACATCATATTATATCCTGTTCATGAGTTTCTCCCAAATCAATGAAAAGGGTCTAGTAGAAAAAGTACCTTAAATCTGACCTAGTAAGAAAAGCACTGAAGTTCATTTCGACAGATTATCGAGTTTAAAGTTAAAATAATTAATATCATTATTTGAAAATTAAAATAGATTTTACTTCTATCAAGGACTCTTGAACCTTAGAGTCAGGAGTGATGAAGGGGAGATGACCTATTGAAATATAAATCTGGTCTTAACACATTAGTGAACCTTTTTTCCTCGCTGCCCTTCAAATTACCGGTATATCAAAAATGTAACTCCACATAAACCATGTAGATGAATGATTGTTAAAAAATCCAATGTTTTGAGTTTGGACACATGAGAAAAGTTATTGAAACAATCTTCATTTCACCTCCACCAAGGGATAGGGAAACAAAAATTACTCCATTTTCTTCATTTTTTTAAATCCACTGTCATTCCATTATAAAGAAACAGAAATGTATAGGCCTGTCAGGCCTTATGACGCCGTTTTTTTTAAGAACTAGACCTTTTAAAAATCCTGCAAAAATTAATCAACAGTCCAAGAACAGGAAACAGCATTCCTTGTAGAGAAATGGATTTATGAACTACTTGACGATAACTCACTTTATTATTTGTTATTTAAAGTACCATGTTAAGGCTGCATGTTAATGGCACAGCATAAATCCCCACATGAAGCCACACATGTTCTGTTAATTGATGTAGTGTAGCCACTCTCAACCAAGAAATACATCAAGCTCATAGCACCAGCTCTAATCACAACTTGAGCCAAGGGTGCACCTCAAGTGCTTCTCTTCTGCGGTCACCATAATCATAGCAGAGCTCTTCCCCACTGGGTATATCACGACTAGCTATTAGGATGAGGTGTGGTATTTTGTCTATCATGACAGCCTTGGTGCAACAATTCCCATCCCTACTGTGGTTCACCAGCCGACCCAAGAAATTGGTCTCTGCAGTAGCATCGACACTGAAAGAGAAAATGAGACACTGACATACAGAAATTATTTAAAACAAACCATCTACTGGTTTCAATTTCGTGTTTAAATATTGACTTCTAGTTTTAGGAAAAAACAATCCAAAAATACATTTTTTAAAGCTTATTTTTAAATTCACAACTTACAGCAGTATAGAACTACTCATTGGATAAATTATAAAGTATAAACGAACATGTTCACAGAATCTCATCACTCTTACAATACAGTATTGTTATTATTATATTATTATCTATTGTTATTGTTATTATCATCTATTATTTTTCCCAAATCAAAAGTTTAAATAGCTGACCCATGATCTCAAGTGTAAATTTGGATATAGAGAGAAGGTTGAATCTATATATATATAGAAACTGAAACTAGGCCGAAAGTTATCAAATGGCAACTTTCGGCGCCAAAACAAAAGCCTAAGCCAAAATTTGGTCGGTCTCTAATGGCATATGAATTAGTTGTAACAGGATTTATTGCACATAATTGAATGAAGACAAAGAGGCCAATTTTTTATTTACTAAAATATGCCCATGAAGAATAAATTTCTACCAATTTTTACTTTCATATATGTTTACTCGGCTGTCTGCTGATGAAGGCTTTAAGCCAATGTTTGTTGTATAGTCTCAGTTTAAACCAAAGATTGTTTTGGGCTGTGTATATCCTATTTTACTTTGTACTATGTTTATCCTATTTAACTTTGTGCTGTGCATATCCTGTTTAACTTTTGTGCTGTGCGTATACTATTTTTAGTAGTACTGTGTTTATCCTATATTACTTTTTTAGCACTGTGTATATTCCGATTTTACCTTGTGCTGCAAGTATCTAATTTCATTTCAAGTTTCGGTCTCAATCATCCTTGTCCTTATCATTTTGTTTTACAAGACATAAAATCATTCTAGGACATCTATGTAAAAACAGACTCATGAGGGACAAAACTACAAAGCAGGCTGAAAGTACCATGTCAGACAATTCCGAGAGTCTGAAATGAGTGAATTTAAGGGCTAAAATCAACCCTTTTCCATCTGGGGAACTATTTTAACTATAAATGTGTCACCCGTAAAAGGGAATTATTTTACCTAAAAATGTCTCACCAGTACAAGGGAATAATTTTAACCAAAATTTCTCCCCAGTACAAGAAATTATTTAACTAAAAATGTCTCACCAGCACAATGGAAATGTTTTGGCTTAAAATGTCTCACCGGTACAAGGGAATATGTTAACTTAACATGTCTCACCAGTACAGGGGAATTACGTAAAAATTTCTCACCAATATTGCTTGTCTGCTAAGCTGAAGTAATACATGTAACATCCAACCCCTGGCTTCAGTGCATATTCTTCCTCTCTTACTTTAGCTGTTTCCAGGTCTATGAGATCACCTGCATACTCTACAACAAAGTCTCCTTTCCTAAACACTTTAGTGGCAACAATCCCACGACCTTTGTTTTCAAAGTTTTTTATCTGAGGAACAAAAATCAGTTACAAATATTACGAACAATTTTAAAAAATGTGTTTCAATCTTACATTTCTTTTGTTGAGCCCAATAAGAAAAAAAAAATTTTTTTAATAGAAATACATAAATTTTACCAACCTCCAAACCATCTTCACACTGTTCCTTTATTTGCTGCTCAAGTTGATGCTGTTTTGCTTTCTGCAGTAATAGTAATAACATAACAAAATTGACAGCCAATCGTTTAAGTTGCAAAGAAGAGAAACAGATTTTATCTAGCAGAAAAGATGCATTTAAAGCTATAAATAAAGTAATTGTTAAAGCTTTGGATGAATTTCATTTAAAGTTATTTTTCATCATTTATGACAGGAAATTAGGCTAATTTTTTTAAAATGATAACTTATGCAACACTTTAACAAATTCTGTAATTGCATTTTTTTTTTAAAGTTTTAAGATGTACAATAGTATTTCCCCCAGCAAATAAAAAAAGGGTATTCTAAGTTAAATTTAAATTAATTTTTACTCTTCCACTGAACAAAGCTCGGTTTCATTATAACAGAAGTACTTAATTTACAGATGTACCTTAAATCTTAAGAAATATGTAACATGTTTAAAATATTTGATGCATGTCATTTTAATGATGTCAAGAGTGAATTTTGATCTCTGGTATCTAATAACTATTTAAGTTAGGACTTTCAAATCTCTCGCACATTCAGTAATAAACATGGATGGGGTTGATGTGGAGTTTAAAAAATCATTAATGCAGTAGTTGGCACTTTGAAAAACAAAATAATAAAAGGATAACTAGATCATTTTTTTTGTGCAGCACAAATCTTCGTGTCTCATTTAAATACCTAATAAAAATAATAACATTAAGTTGAGACATCCGACAATCGTCCTGTACTGACTACTCTTAGAATTCCTATGAATCACATTGGAGTAATAAAAACGTTTCATTCCCATTCAACTTTTACGCTGCTAAGAAATTACAAACCTCAATTTCAGACTTTGTCTGTCTGCCACTTCTACGGACAGGATAATAATTTGTGATGGTATTTTTCTGGACTGGTTCAGCGGTCTTTTTTCTGAAATATTTCACAGGTAAATTATAGTAAAGATAATGTCTGAAAATTATTAACAATGTAAATCTTTATGGAAGAATGAGAGGGTCTCATATAACAGACATGCACTCAAACATATTAGAAGGCACTCACTTTTGTCTGCCAGAAATGGCTTTAGTTGACTCCTTCTGGGTCTCAGAATCAATAACTGATTTTTTTGCACTTTTTCTAACTTTGGTCTTTGGGACAGAAGGCGATACGGTGGCCGCCTCAGTTATTTTTGTTTTAACCACTTTGCTTTCTTTGACGCTAGTTTTTGGTTTCCTGGTTGTGTGTTCCTCCAAATCAGTATTATCTGCAACAGCTTTATATGATGAATCTTTGCTGGCCTCATTTTTTACTGTTTTTGTAGCTGTTTCTAGGGATTCTACATCGTTGACCAGACTACTACTCATGTCCTTTGTGGGTGTTACCACTGACTCACGTGCTGCATTTTTTAAAGAATCACCAGAGTCCTCTACACTGGAGGGAGGTGAATCTGGTGTTAAATCAGAGACAGCTTGTGCTTTGCCTTTCACATCCAGAAAGAAAGAACCTTTCATTAAACCTTATCACAACATGAATTTATTTTTTTAGCAGAGTAATTACTTCAAACTATATGGTTGCTGCTATTTATAAAAATTTGAGACAATACACTTGATTATGTTGTATTGTATATTGTAACTATTAGTATGATCAAAGTTTGTTGATTTTTTTTAGGGAAACTATAGGATATGACATGATATGCTTCTTCAATAAGCAGTGATTTTTTAATCAAGAAATTAATCAAGATATGATATTCATTTTAAAATCTTTAAAATAAAAAAATTGGGTCAACATACCTCTAGTGGGAGTTGGTATAGGTTCACAATTTGATGATATTAAACTATAACTTTTTATTGCTTTTCTATCTTTACAGTCCTGATTCTTCATTGTCAATTTGGTTTGGTTTTACCTGTTAGCAGAAAAAAATAATTGCACATCTAATACAACTAGCTATAAAATAATAAACAATAAAATTTGCTATGTTAAAAAATATTTTTATGACATACTGTGCAGCTCAGTTTGAAGTAGAGAGGGAATGCCCATAAATCAACTTATATTTAATATGCAATTTTATTGCTAAGTTCTAACTGGGGTGGACAAATAAAAATACATTTTTACAAATTGAATGGAGATGAAATTTTAAAACTATACAATAATAAAAAAAAAATAATTATGATAGTGTATCAGGCTGCGAATTTTTTTTTCTTTCTTTTTAATGGGTAAATGTTCAACTTTGTATTACATTTTACATTTTCCACAACACGACAACATTATGGCATTTATAATTTATGGTCTTAAGAAGATTACTGATAGGAAATTCTAGCATGTTAATGTTAGTTCTATTACCTTCCAATTAACAGATTAGAAGAGTGTTGGACGATGATAAAACTTTCAAACAGATTAATCATTCTATCTTCTAAAAGTAATTTGTGGCACAGTACAGGGTTCATAAAATGCAAGCAAAAAATTTGGCATATGTCTCAAATTTAAAGAGGCCTCATTTTTCCTTTTTACATATGGACTTATTCAAGCTTTTCACGCATGGAATTTTCTGTTGTCTGCTAGTTACAAATTGTTACATTGTATGATTATTTGATTATAGCAATTAGACTAAATATTTATAATAGATTATTTATTGATATTCAAAATTGATTAACAACAGAAACAAGCCTTAAAACAAGGCTAACAATTACAAAGGTTCCCTGCCTTTTAGGCCTTATTAGGCCGCCTTACAGTATAGTAGTATCACAAATTATTCAATTACATTTACATAAAATTTTGTTTTTTTCGGATGCATTAAGACATTCAATTATATTGATTTGAATAATTAATTTAATAGTCAGTTTGGGTAAACTGATGATAAATGAGTATTGTCAAGGGACAATTAATAAATTAATTACAATTTTACAAGTTAAGTAACTAAGAGTGTAGTTGTAGTGATGAGTGGTTAGTAGGGTAGTCATGGCACTCACGGCAAAGTCACGGCGTACTCATAAACTGAGCCTTACTCTTCTACAGTCTACAGTTTACAGTAAGTATGGACAGTATTTCAGGCTGGTTTAACGACAAGTATTAGCCTAAGTAATTAATTCCATCAGTAACATTTAAATAAAGCCTATAAAATTACAATATGTCAATCAAATGACATTAGTTGCCAATGTTTACCATCTTAATCTTACCATATGAATATGACACTCGTCTAAATAACACACTATCCTAAAAAATTTGAAATCAGATTCTTATTTTTAGTTTTTAGCTTAGCTCCTTATTTCGTTTCAGTTTCACTCACAGCCAGATATCCGGTGGCAGTTTGAAAAAAAGGGGATGGAATCGGAAAATCATTTTTTTAAGTCAAACTTTTTAGGACTTTGCCGTAATTTTCAATATGGTTTGCAACACCTTTGCAAAAGAATGAACTTTTGTTGCATAATATTTATCTTTGCATTTAAGTGTCGTCCATAAAGTACGTCACACTCGAGAGGGGTGGGGTCCTAAAAAGTTTGCTACCCGGAAAAAAGTGGGGAGGGGGATCTTGTGGAACGTGACCAATTTTTATATTTTTGTATCATACATATAAAATCTGAAAATGACAGTGATGTTGAATTTTCTGTTGTGATGGATATATTCTTACATAAAATTTCACTTTTATAAATTTAATAGTTAATAATGGAGTGGGTTTTAGATTAAATTTCAATTAGGTTTTTTTTTAGTCTGAAGAAGAGAATGGTAGGAGAGCAATTAATAGATGCTGAACTCTCTCTCTCTCTCTCTCTCTCTCTCTCTCTCTCTCTCTCTCTCTCTCTTTTTCTCTCTCTTTTTCTCTCCTCTTTTTCTCTCTCT